TCTCGAAAAATGGAACACGATGCTGGTTGAACTAATCTCGTGCAGGTCTGAGCCAAAAGGTATTACAGATAAACGTCCTCCGCGAAAACGTATATTTTGAGGCTGAAACGTTTACCTTAGGTCAAATCTGAGATAATAAGAGAGAGAGCATAAAAAGAGCTATCGAATATGCGCTTTGCTGCGGCGCTGTAGCTCAATCTCTTTCTGAATCCTGACTTATGCACCGCTTTGTCGAAAAATGTCAACATCGGCGAAATTTGATTTTCGGTTGTCGCTGGTGACCTGACCTTAGACAGGTTCGACCTAACCTTAAAATGATCTTAATAGTTTTGTAATAGTTTTTGACGCTCTTTCGAACGCCGCCTACTGCGTGTCTCGACGTGGCCCACAAGTTGAGTTAGAAGTGGGTGTTCAAACACCCCCAGCAGGTTCAATAAAAAAAACGCTTACGCTGGGGGCGGCACCGCACTGCTAGGCGCTGTCGGCATCGCAATAATGGGCGGCAGAGCGCTGAGGGGCGCCACTTGCATTGAGGGGTGGCATTGTACGGTGAAGGGGCAGCGTCGCGTTGAGGGGCGGTATCGCAACGAGGTTGGCACTTACAAGGCTGCCTAATAAGGAACGCTTGGCACATCCAAGCCCAGCTCGGCGCCGCCTAGCTGCTGCATCTTGAAAAGGGCCCTTAGTGTCGATGAGAAAGCCCCATTGTCAAATAATTGCCTAGCGTCAGTGGTTTCGGGGGGGGGGGCGCTATCAATCTTGAATGGGGCGGGGCGACCGAAGTATCCATTCAGTTTCGCGTCAGTGACTACTGGAGGGCGTCTGAACGACCTCGGATAGGGCGAATGTGATCTTCAGAAGGGCATCGGGTGCTCTAGAGGGGTGCAATGCTTGGATGGGGTCACTGCTGCCTTCAGTAGGGCGTCGAACGCTCTGGAGGGGCGCCATTGATCTCGGATGGTCCGACTGGGATTTTCAGAGGAGCATCAGTGGTTTCAGAGGGGCGCCATTGATCAAGGATGGGCCGACTGAAGCCCCGGTTCAGGTGGGAGCCAGTGGCTCTTGAGGGGCGCCAGCGACCTCGGATTGATGGGGCGACTGTGATCTTTAGAACGGCGTTGAGGGGCGCCATTGGGCATGGATGGGGCCACTGTTGCCTTCAGCAGGGCGCCGCAGGGAGGCTCTGGAGGGGCCTGAGCTTGGGTGGGCCGACTGTAGTCTCCAGGGGCGTTGTCTCGGATGGGGTGAATGTGATTTTCAGAGGGGTGCCGGGTAGTCTAGAAGGGCGCCATTGGTTTCAGAGGGCTGTCATCGATCTTAAGATGGGGCAGCTGTAACCTTCGTTTAGATGGGCGTGATCTTCAGAAGCGCGCTGGACGCTCTGAAGGGGCGTCATTGGGCTTGAATGGGGCGACTTTAGTCTCAAGCGGGACGACTTCAGTCTCAAGGGGGTGGGGCGCTAGTGGCTCTTGAGGGCGCTATTGATCTCGGATAGGGCGACTTTGATCTTGAGAAGAATGCGGGTGCTTTAGAGGGGCGCCAGTGGTTTCAGGGATCGATCTTGGATGGGTCGATTGGGGCAGCTGTGAACTTCAGAAGGGCGCCGGGTGCTCTAGAGGGGCGCCATCAAGCTTTAATGGGGCGACTGTTCCGTTTAGGTGGGTGCCAGCGGCTCTTCAGGGGCGCCATCGACCCTGGGGGTTCGGAATATTCTTGTTTCCGGAGGGGCGCCCTTGAACATTTGGGGGCTCAGGTCGTATTTGGGGGTGCCCTGGAGATTATTTAGGTGTCCAGGCACCCCAAAGAGATATTGAGTTCGATCCCTGCCTGCACATCACTTTTTAATTCATGTTCTCTCTGTAAAACGGCATCAGCCTAGTCGGCGCTAATTGGGGCGCCATTTGGGCGGCTGGGCGGAAAGGGGGGGCCATGGCCCCCATGGCCCCCCCCTGTCTACGCCACTGGGGAAGGCTATGGTATGGTGGACTAACGGGCACACACTGTGTTAAGTGCTGTAGGTGAAACGAAATCATTTTTTTCTTAGTAAAAAACTGCGATTGCAGCATGATGATAAATAGTCAGATTACCGCCAAAGCGAATAAGATACGGCTTTTTGTAACCCGGCATCAGAAGCAGAAGGCTTTGGGGATCATTCCCATGCATAATTTTTTCAATTTGTACGAAATGAACGCAAACCAGCGGCGTTTGAACTTGCGAGTGTCTGACCGTCATTTTACGACCTAGAAAATGTCGCGACTTCTGACGATTATACACGAGGCCGGTTTTGACAAAAACATGAAAGCCATGTGATTTCAGATGCCCCAAACATTTGTCTACTCGGCCATATCACAATTAACTCGATTTGGTAAACTTGACTTTTGGGTATTTATGGCCACTCGTGAACCCCATTTGCATCACTGTGCGCGGCCACGGACAGACGGCGCGGCTTTCCTACAGTTCTGAGTCGGGTGTGGCACTGGCTAGACCGTTTCTCGGGAGTGGGACCAGTGGCGAGCTATTCGAGGGTATTATCAAGTATGCCTAAGGACTTGAGTACTGAGTAGAAAAACATCGCTCGATGTGCCGTCATTTCCCTGGCCGCCCAACAATGGCCGGTAACGTAAATCCCGAGACGTCGGGCAGCGACGTGAGCGGCGATACAGGACAGACGACGCTACCGTCGCACAACGTCATGAAGCTGTTTTATACTGTGCAGAGTAAAAATGAGGCCAAGTGTCTGTCGTGCAAAAAAAGTGTCAAGTGTTGCTTATCGTTTATATTTCTTAGCGTATCGGCAGATTTTTATTTAAGCAGTGCTAGCAATTTCTGAAATTTAGTCAATTATTAGTCAAAATCAAGAGAAATGGCGTTAGTCATTCATTAGTCAGTCAAGCTTTTTGAGACGAAAGAATAGTCAGTCAAAAGTCAGTCAACCAAAATTGTCATTAGTCATTAGTCAGTCATTAGTCAAGATTTTGAAAAACGTTAGTCATTTCCACCTCTAGACGCAACGACTGGGTAACAGTTCGCCAACGAGCCCGTTCGCTGCCGTGCGGTAGCCCGCGGCCGGGCCCCCAGGGGCCCGCCGTGTCGGGGCCGCAAGGGGGGGGGGAACCGCAGAGGTGAAAAAACCCTGCTACTCGCCTGCGTGCGTAGGTGACAGCCATAGGCATAAAGAGACAGATTCGAGCATCTCACTTGATGCATTTAAAGTAGATAACTAGTCCGTTTCCGCTAAAATCAGAGCTGTCTTCCCATATAGGGCCACTATGGACCCACGGCACAAAAATTTAACAGCGTCATCTCTTTGTAGACAGCTGGGGCTGAAAAATCCCGCCGGTGCGACAGCCGGTGCGTTGTGAAGCGCCATAGATAACGCAGGAAAAACGGCGACAGCGCGACAGCTCGTCCCCGCTCGTCGCCGGTTGAACGGTGGCGGGGACCGGCGCGGCCGACGCGGCCTTGGCCGCCGCCGGAGTAGGGAAGGACCGGGCGACTGGGACGGGGGACGTCACATCTGGGCCACAACTGGGGTGAGGTCCATGACCATCGGTCCCAGAAACTTGGCAGGAGCGTTGATAATTGGTTCTGACTACTGAAGCAAAGGCAAGTGAATCAGTGACAACTGACAATCCTTTCGTGAGTTCTGTGCACTGGATCAGGAAGCCAGGACGAGCTAGGACGTCGATCAGACCTATAGGTAAGTTGGATGGTAGTGATTTATTTTTGTTGTGTTGTGTCAATGCAATGTGGCGATGCGTTGTCCGAAATCTGAAAGGTCAGAAGTTTGAAAGGTCCCAGAGTCCAAAATTTGAAAGGTCAGTTTCTTAACATTCTAGCCTCATTTTCAATTTTTTAAGCCTAAAAAGGTGATGAGAGAACGTCAAAAAGTACCTTCTGTTTCAAGATTACTTGTAAAAAAAATGGTGACAGCTAGACATCGCGCAGGTGACAGCTTTTGAGTTTTATTCACCTCTGGGGAACCGTCGCCCGGCCCAGGGCAGAGACGAGCAGGTGAGACCGCGGCCGGCCGCCCCCAGGCGGCCGCCGTGTCGGCCCACCTGTCGCAGCGCAGGCGGCCGGGGTTTGCAGTCCGGGCCGGGCGACGTCAGTGCGAACTTGAGCCGAGCTGCAGCAGGGACACTGAAAACAATTTCACCCAAAACTGGCGAGTAAACCGGTGCCTCGCGGGTACCCCTATCCGCAACCATTTTTAACCACCCTCCCAGGAGTCAATTTAGGACATAGCACTTTCGCAATTCACTCTGGAGAGTAGTAACCCTCCACGACTATTCGCGCACCAGTGGCTCGCGACCCCTCCATCGAAAGGTATTCATCGACGCCTACCTGGCAGCAGCGCCCCACAAACCCCCAGGAGATGGGGTTACCCTCCACGCCTACCCGTCGCCGACCAAGTCACGAGGGCCAAAAAAACTCCCACGCTTGACCATATTTGCGGGAAAATATCTATATCATAGCAATCTCACACCTAGAAAACATCGGTGAGAAAGTTTCACATCGGTGGGAAAGGTCAACTCGAATTCCCATAGAAATTTCGACATGACTCGTCATGACTGAAAACAAATTGATCCGGCGACAGCGGGTAAAACCTGCATTTGAAGGATACCCCTATCCACCACCATTTTTGACCACTCTGGAGCGGATACGAAATATACGTGCCTCGCGGATACTGTTTATCCGTTGACAGCGGGTTAATCCGTATAGATTACCCGATCAAGGAGGGTTACTCGAATCTAAATATCCGCTACTGCCGGGTACCTCGATCCGTTGACGCGGAGTAAAATCCGCATCTGAAGGGTACCCCTATCCACCACCATTTTTGACCACCCTACACCGGGTATCAAATATACGCCACTGACTGATACTTATTACCCGTTTACTGCAGGTTAACTGGTGCCATCTATAATTTTCGTTAACTTTGAGCATCCAATTCCCCCTTCCCATGCATTCGGTTGCTGTCACATTCGTAAGCACTTAAATATGGTCTTATTTATTTATTTAGTTAGACGTACAACAATATCCACACACATGAATTATACGAGCTAAATATGAGTTAAGGTCATAAGGCCCCGGTGCCTTGCGCCATGCACCACTCCTCCACCGGTCGTTTTGTGTCTGTCAACGTCTCTCCACTTGGCTTTCAGTGGTCGAAACCTCCCATTTCGATTCGTACGCCTGAAAAAATAGCCCGTATATCATAAACCATTCCCACATACACAAAACCGAATTGTGCATTGTCATCTGAGCTTTCGCCTTACTGGATTCGCCGCACGATATGACCTGTGGCCACAGAGAAAAACGATTACGAGTCCACGTGGTCACCCATTAGGTAGGTACCTATATCTACACGAGATGCATTGCAAGAATCATTTGGCCCTAAGTGAAAGGGTACACTCACTCTGTATATCTCTCCGGGTTAAAAAGTTAGTTTTGGAAAGCGTCCTTACCTCTATCCGCGAAATTCAGCAGCCAGAAGTCCACAGCAGACGCAGTACCACAGCCAAACCACAGCGCCGTCAACACAGTCAGGAAGATGGCGTCGCACGAGATTCGTTGCCGGAGGTGCACCGCCGGCAACGCGCATGCGCACGCGCATGCGCGGGAAGTGTATCCGCAGTTGGCGGGTGAATGAATCCACCAGGCAAACTTGACAACCCGGTGTGAGGGAGTACGTGACACTTATCCGCGCTATACATATATAATGAATCCGCCTGGCGAGAGTAACCGATACCTATCAGTCCCGGATTTTCCCCGCTATCCGCCACCGTCGGCTAGCAACTACACGTAAAAAGTGTATCTAGCCCCTGTCAGCGCGGATTTATCTGTTGTTTCCAGATATCGCAAGCAGGTACCTATATCTACTCCCATGGTTCTACCCGCACTTGAGTGATTAACCCGGACGTACCTTACACTTAATTAAAGGATAACCCGCCACAGCCCGGCCAATTTGTTTTCAGTGCAATTGTACTTTCGCCCCCACTTGCAAACCGCCAAACAATGTGCCAACATATCATTGGTTCAAAAAAAAGTTAAAAAATTGTTGTAATTCAAAACTGTATGAGACAACGCCATCTAGTTGTAACAGTAGATCCAACTCCTTCAGGGCAGGTTATGTAAAGGTTCGCCATCCACGGATACGCTTTTACGATACCTCGAGTAGTTCCAACTCTTTCAGTGAGGGCTATGCCAATGACTCGACACCCGCGGGGACAATATCCGGTGCTGGTTAGCTACCTTACTGCAAAATGTGGGTACAGTGCATATTTACGAGTAATAAGGCAGGCAAGTCTGCAGGGGCGCGGGAACTACTTTCCGACTGGGGGGCACACCATAATAGAGATTAACCTAGGGTACCCCCAAATCTAGTTTTCTCACCGGTTTTAGGCCACTTATTTTTTACCCCTCGGCTTTTTCAACAAAAAAAGAAAACATTTGCAAAAAAGTATGGTATTCCGTCTCAAAGCTGTGGGGGCACCGCCCCCACGGCCCCAGAGTTGGGGGGGCAAGCTGCCCCCACTGCCCCCCCGGCTCCCGCGCCTATGCAAGTCTGCTTACCCTCTAGCTAGAATCTGGACATGGCGAGTTAATACACATATACCACCCGCAGAGCAACGCTTAATTCGCCAGCTTCGGGTGAAATTGTTTTCAGTGGACCCACACCGGCGGAGGTACCGCCGCAAGGCAGATGAAGACCAGCGCCAATGACGGTGACGCCGAGCGCCCGCGGCCGGGACCATATTCTGTCCCGCCGTGTCGGGGCTCGCCACCCGTGATGAGGCATCGAACTTTTGGATTGATTGTGTAAGAACAAGTATCGCAGATCCGTACGTCTCCTGCCAGGAGAGCTCACGGCCAGCGGATACACCGGCTCCGCCGTAGTGAACTCCGCGTAAGACACGCTGAGAGTAAAAGCTGGCGACGCCAAGCGCGCGCGGCCGGGACCACATTCCGACGCACCGCGGCGGGGCCCGCGACCCGTGATGCGGTATCGAACGTCTGGATGAATTGCGCGACAGCAAAGCTCGCAGGTTGCTCGCGTCATACCACGAGAACCCACGGCCGGAAGACACAGCGATCCTAAGACGTCATGAGAGTAATGACTGAGCACCCGCGGCCGGGACCGTGCCATCCCGCCGTGTCGGGGCCCGCATACCGTGATAAGATGTCGTATATGAGCCGCGCGCCAGGTGGAGCAGTGAGACAGTTTGATGCCGGAGTCGGGCCAGCCGGAGTGATGCCGGAGTCGGGATGCCGGAGTATCACCTAGCGGGAGCCGGAAGAGACGATCACAATCGTGTAACGCGACTCCAAGGCATGTCATGGCAGGCTGTACTGGGCACCAGGGTACGCTCCGAGCGTTACAAACATTCTGAGAGCGAGACAGAAATCCTCTACCATCGTCGCGGAATAAACCAATGAATAAGAAACAGGGAGCTCAAAACAGAACTGATTGGTCAAGTATCACACAAAAAGCGGGCGATCCAGATGAGGATGTCGTTAAGCGACCGCAGAGGGGCAGCGGTTAGTATTGCCTACGACGCTCAACGACGATGAAACCGTGCCATCCAAAATATTGGATGGCAACCGAGTCGCCCCCAGAAAGAGGAATCGGCTGGAAAGAACGACGCTGTCGTGTCGGTATGGAAGTCAAAGAGGTAGTGTGGCGATCAGAGAGGAGGTCGGTAGCGGGGCCAGCGTAGGCACAGTGTGCATCTCCGGCAGCGGCAGCTGCTCCGTAGGGGGCGGCAACGGCAGCGGTAGCATGACACGATGAGGTAGCGCTTGTCGCTGCCTTGCAATGTCCGCCATCTAGCAGCACCCGCCGACCTCCTCGTGGACCAGGTGACGCCGGCTGTTTACCCGCACGCTGAGCACCGTTTGGGTAGGCATTGTCTCCGTAGTGGGAGGCGGCTGAGGCAATTGCCGAAGCTGCGCCCCGCTCCGTGCAGCAGTACCCCGCAACCAGCCCCGTCCGCGAGTTGTGACCAAGCGCGGCGGGGCCGGCCTGAGCCCGCCGTCGACGCAGACCGGTAGATGGTTTCTCGGCATGCCCGATGTGCCATGAAACAAAGGTAAACATAAGCGTCAGTGAAAACAAATACAATGATACACAGCGATAGGTATGCCCTGCGGCGCCATCATCGCCGCCAGGGGCACTAGCGAAGGAAATATTTTGAGAAATGCAGTGAGGGCGGTACGACACGAGGAACTCGCGGGAGCATCGTAAACCGACATACTATGCCAAAAGCAGAATGAATAAAGGCACATTATCATGAGCGGTGGACAGATACAGGGTGGTCATTTTGAATAGATGTAAAGGCAATTGGAAACATCAGCCCTGTTTGAAGCGAACAGGGCACAAGCAAAACCAAACGCACCCATCGAACACACCCGGTGTGACATTGTATCTGTATCGCAGTCAGTCCTCAGCGTCAATAGCCGGCTAAGAGGAGATGCCCAAAGTATACACCTTCGCGGACCGCCGACCAGCTGAGCTGGATCATGCTCACGGGCCACACCAAAGACCGTAACGCTCACGGCGGAAGCGGCAGCCAGTAACAGTTGTTATATCGTACCAAAGATAGGGGCCGGACCGACCACCCACGGCGTGATACTTATGAGCTGACCGCAGCCCCGCCGGTAAAAGCTGTTAGGAAGCCCTCACGCAAGAAGCCGATCGTGGTGTGAGAGAAGCTGACCGAGCTCGACCGGTAACACCTATTAGTGAATATGTGTCCGGAATTCTTAACTCGCCGCTAGAATTATTTGCGGTCGCCGTAAAATGACAATGTCTCCAACCTGCGAACGAAACCCGGGTGGTTGTTCTCGCGCAGAGTGTCCGATTTCCACACCCTTGTCCTCGCATACAAGGTCCTACCGCGCCGAGAGCCCGAGCAACTAGTAATCCTGTTTGTCGCTAATAGCGCTATCCGCGAGAGACCATCCAGGCAAGCTCACCTCTGCCATCTTCCCCGTCCGCGGCTGGAAACGGGCAAGCGGCGGTTCGGCTATCGCGCTGCAGCTCTGCTGAACAGCCTGCCACCTCACCTGTCGAAGCTGCCTCCCGCCCGCTTCGCCCGCGCTGTGAAAGCCGCAATCGTGAACGATGAATAAGCACACCACGTCTGACATCGCTGACCAAAAGGGTAGGGGGGGGGGAGTAAGAGGGATGAGGCTGTCCTAAGAGTGTTTTGTCCGTGTTTTGACGTGAGTGAATGTGCAAATGTTTTGAATGATTAGATAAGCAGCCGCGGATATGGATTCTGAGCAGTAATCGCCACGCACGTTGTATGTGGATCGCTCTGAAATGTAAAGACGATGCAATACAATACAATACAATGCAATATCATCCGCACTGTATGGGCTTATCGCTGCCACCGGCATGAGAAAAGCTTACCGCTGCTCCGCCGTAAATGTCGATTATCTCATCAGGACGGTAGTCTCCATTGGAATGAATTTGTTCAGCTGCGTGTATACGAATGAAGAAATAAAGAGGGAACGCGCACGGTGAGCGGGACCCGAACATACGCTACCCGCCGCGGAAACTCGAAGGTGAGACCAAACCCCGCCATTCCGTAAGATACCAGGGCGGGAACAGCCTCCGCCATACCGGGAATAGACCAGAGCGGGAACATCCTCCGCCATCCTGGGAAAATACCACGGCGGGGGGCCACCTCCGCCAGTCCGGAAATATACCAGGGCTGGCACAGCCTCCGCCATTCTGGGAATATACCGCGGCGGGAACCGTCTCCGCCAATCCGGGAATATACCGCGGCGGGAACAGCCTCCGCCAATCCGGCAATATACCACGGCTGGCCCAGCCTCCGCCATTCCGGGAATATATCGCGGCGGGAACAGCCTCCGCCAATCCGGGAATATACCAGGGCGGGAACAACTTCCGCCATTCCGGGAATATATCAGGGCGGGAACAGCCTCCGCCATTCCGGGAATAAACCACGGCGGGAACAGCCTCCGCCATACGGGGAATATACCAGGGCGGGAACAGCCTCCGCCAGTCCGGGAATACACCAGGGCGGAAACAGCCTCCGCCATCTTGGAAATATACCGTGGAGGGAACAGCCTCCGCCATGCCGGGAATAGACCAGAGCGGGAACATCCTCCGCCATCCTGGGAAAATACCACGGCGGGGGCCACCTCCCCCGGTCCGGAAATATAACCCGGCTGGCACGCCCTCCGTCCTTCCGGGAATATACCAGGATAGGAGCAACCTCCGCCATTTAGGAAATAGATCACGGCAGGAGATACCTCCCCCATTCCGGGAACTTACTGGATCGGGAACAGCCACCACCATAAGACAATAAGTCTTACAAAACACGCAAGTTTGCGGCGAGATATCGACGCATCCAGCGTGCAACGCCGGGCCGCCCAGAAAGCAAGGCTATCGCCCCCCCCCCCAACAGCAGCATGCTGAAACGAAAATGAAGAAAAGGCAAGGAGGGACGTTAACCAATGGCATGTGGACGGAACGGAGCAGTGTCGTACCCGTTACTAGTCCGGGAACGTACGACTAAACCCGGTAACTGACATAATGAGAGTCGGTGCGAAACTCTTGGATGCCGGCCACCGATAAGCCACGGAGGCGACTGCGGGTACAACATCCGCAAGCCCGGCGGGGACAACGTCCGCCAGTTCGGTGGGTACAACGTCCACCAGCCCCCAGCGGGTACAACATCCGCAAGCCCGGCGGGTACAACATCCGCCAGTTCTGTGGGTACAACGTCCACCAGCCCCAACGTCCACCAGCCCCCAGCGGG